AAACTGGTGACAATCCTGGAAAAATCAAAACTTTATTCCTGACGGGGCAGCAGTGCTATGATAGCTTGCCAAAGCCAAAACATTTCATAGTTAGTGGGAAAAAGGCAGTGAAATAAGAATGATAGCTCTATTAATACCCTTTCTCAAGCTGTTACGCATGTTTTTTGCTTCACTGCCTTCAGACTTGTACAAAAGAATGTCATTAGTTTGCTGTCATCACTCTCCTACAACACGAGTTCTCGTACATGTGAATGGCCTTTTATCTTCAGGCTATCTTTCAGAAATGGTTTTCTGAGAAACTCAAAGAGAGAGTTGCTCCATACCATTCTGCATAGCTCTGTTTCCCTTGCTACTACTAGCGCTGTCCTTGTTAAGTGTATGGTAAGCAGCAGGTGCCGCAGCTGAAATAGCACATCACAGTGACATAGACGTTTATCTCCACCATTTATTTGCTTTACACATCCTTTTTCACTGTGTAAGATCTTTAACTAGTGTAACTGAAGGTATATTTATTGCAACAGCTACCTGACACCCTGACATCACTTGACTGACAGCTGACATACATCAGTTGCCAGTCTAGATACTAGTACATGTCTCTTGTTGAAATATCCCCGAAACTTCAACCTACAAATAATAACGAGAACACAGTGCTGCCCAGGCCTCTGCAGCACCTATGACTACTTACCTATCACAGATAATCCTTTGCTGATAACTCCCTAATTGTATCTGCTACATAAAAATAAAATAAATCTGTCCTTAATAATTTCCTGTAATTTTCTAACTGGATTCAGCTGGATTCCATAAGAAATGTAAAATCTTGAAATAAGATAAATATATAATAGAGTTGGATGTTCTTTTTATTCTGTCAAAAAAGTTGTGTTTTAGCTCATGAACTGTTGATGTGATTTACTGTTACTGTACTGTTGCATGATTTACTGTTAATACACAAGCTATGGTTTGATACTGACATTGGCTTGTCTGAAAAATCATTTGTGTTAAAGACAGTGAGCATCGCATTAGTGATTTAAATGCTGTTATTGATTAATGTCACTCTAATATGTGCATTATCTATCTATCTATTTATTTATTTCTTCAGAAACACCCTCAAAACTTAACACGATTTTTTGAATGAAATTCCTCTCAAATTTCAAAATCAAAGTAACAAAGTATTTGCTACAGAAATCCTGGATTTCTGTACCATTTTTTTTCCAGCTCTATCTGCACAGATTTCTACATCTGCTTGGACCTACAATGTGATTTATTTTAATTTCACTCATTTTCAGAATGAACATGCCATTGAATGAACATTAAGTGTAAAAGGATATCACAGCTAAGTCAACTGCAACTTCCTCTGTGTAACTGGAGTATCTGAATAGCTCCCCTCCCAGTAACAGAGACTGTATGCATAATAATAGTAGCTTTGAGCTATAAGCTATGAGAAGGAGAGACTAGAGCAAGCAGGTGCTTACCCAATGGTAGAAGGATCAAAATAGAAGTAATGATAATGCTATTATTTTAAACACAAAGACTGGAAAGTAACACTTCAGGGGCTGTTTAAATAATCTCATCAGTAATACTAAAAGGAATAGCAATAGCAACAGCAATAGCAATTGGTAATAATATAACTCCACACACCACTTCTGGCTTGATAATATATCTGATTGAAGACTTGTTAGATTGAATGAAACAAAAAGTGTGTTTTCCCCATTTTCCAACATTTGTCGCGTTGTAACAGGCCATCTGTCAAAGCTTTACTAGATTTACTGTGACATTTGTTCAAAAAATGGCATATTAAGGCAAAATAATTCCTTCCCACTGTCATTACGGGTTATCAGATTATGCGTGGGTTGTGTGTTGCCTTCAAACAGACATCACCATAAGACCTCTGACCACTGCCGTCTTCATCAGAGCTTAGTGAACTCAGCTTTCTCTTGGCTGCTTTCAAACTGGCTCTACACACTGTAATTTTACTGGGATAAGTGAGGGGGATTGGATGATATACTGGTGGAGACGAAATGTTGCAAGTTGAGTATAGATATATGGTGGAAACATTTTCTGTGGTGCAGAAGAACTCAAAGCATTTTACTCTTTGGGGTCATTTTTCAAAACAGTTTCAGTCTTTCCTCAACTGAAAATACTTTTATTCCTAAGAAGTTCCACAGCTAAAAGTATGGATACAAGCTTTTTCCCAAAACTGAATTTTTATTAGTGCATATGGAAGATATGACTTGTCCAGTTTCAGACTGTTACAAGGGATTATTTTCAGCAGTTGAACTAGGCTTTTTTGCCTTCATTTTCTGAGATCCACACCTTTCACAGGTTTCAGAGCCAATGGTTTATTAATGGTTAACTCATATTTTCATTTTATCTTTTAAATTAATGATTATGTACTTAACACAGCTTTACAGACTAGAACATAAGTTGTTCACCATGTTCTCACCTTAAAGGTGGAATTCACAAAGTCACAGAATTGCAGGGGTTGGAAGGGACTTCAAGAGGTCATTGAGTACAACCCCTCTGCTAAAGCAGGAACTCTGCAACAGGTCACACAGATAGGAATCCAGACAGGTCTTGAATGTCTCTACAGAAGACTGCAACTTCTCTGGGCAGCCTGTTCCAGTGCTCCATCAGCCTTACTGTACTGAAGTTCTTCTTCATATTTATATGGAACTTTTTATGTTCAAATTTTAGGCCATTGCTCCTTGTCCTATGACTACACATGACTGAGAAGAGCCTGGCCTCTTCCATTTATCTCCCACCTCCCTTTAGATATTTATAGACATTTATAAGATCTCCCTTCAGTCTTTACCCCGGGCCAAACAGACCCAGTTTGCTCAGCCTTTTTCTCGTAGGGGAGATGCTCCAGGCCCTTTATCATCTTTGTGGCCCTCTGCTGGACTGCTTCTAGGAGATCTCTGTCTTTTTTGAAGTGGGGAGACCAGATATGAACACAGTATTCTAAATGTGGCCTCATCAGGGCAGAGTAGAGGGGGAGAATCACCTCCCTTGACCTGCTGGCCATATTCTTCTTAATGCACCCCAGAAATTCAAATTCAAAGGCTCTACACCAAAACTCAGAGCTTATGAGAGATCTGTGCTGATTTCTGCAACTCCTGGAAGATAGAATTCTTTATTGTTCAAGTACAGGTGGGGGTAATTGGTACACTGGGTATTTAGAGCACAGAAAATTGAGTTTAGCTAAAAAACATGCAGTGTAACAAGACAGATGGTGATAATCAAAATCATCCTTTGTGGTATACCTGAGTGATGCCTATTTCACTGGCCAGAAATAAACTTCTATGTACTAGAGAAATTGCTAATACAGTATGGAAATTGAGGAAATCAATCAGGTTGGATATCAAGAAAAACTTCTTTCTCAGAAGGAGTGGTGAGGCACTGGCACAGGCTGCCCAGGGAGGTGGTGCAGTCACCATCCAAGGAGGTGTTGAAGAAATATGTGGATGTGTCACTGAGGGACACAGTTAGTGGGCATGGTGGGGGTGGGCTGATGATTGAACAAGATGATCTTGTTGGTCTTTTACAACCTTAATAATTCTATGATCTTATTAAATCAGAATCACAGAATCTTAGAATCATAGAGTCATGGCATGGCTTAGGTTGGAAGGGATCTTAAAGCCCACTGAGCTCCAGTCCTCTGCCATGAGCATGGTTGCCAATAGAGTTCATGAAAATAGGAGTCCATAATTTAGTGATTGTAGTTTTTCCCTGGCAAAACCAAAGTGCACTTCTCAGTTGGATTTTATAGGTAAAAGGCACTTCACAACTGAATCTACATTCATTTTGTTCATTTGGTTCCTCTTATTAGTGGTGCTGTCTTTTCCTGAGCTACTCTCATTGTCTCCCCATTCCAGTTTTGAGATTTTTCTGTTTGCCCGCATGCAACTGTGTCTTTCCTCGAGCCTGATGCAGGAGGTGAAATTCTCCAATACAGACCGGCTGCAGGTCTCGGCGGCAGTGTTGTGACAGAGTATGCAGACAACCGACGGTGAGGGGCTGCTTGTATACCACTACGAGAGGAACAAGAAGTCCAGCTTGGCACGTCCTGTTTCAGAATTACAAACGGGACGGGGAGGGGAGCTTGGCAAACTTAGTCAAACATGTGTGCTTGCGTGTACGGGAGCTCCGAGCGCGCTGGACCTCCCCCGCTCCACACCGCAACCTTCCCCGAGCTCCAGTTCCCACCCCGGCCGAGGCGCTCCCCCTTCCCCGCAGCTCCCGCGCCCCCACCCCCCCGCGGCTCCGGCTGCCCCTCCGCCCCCCGCCCCCCGGCGCGGTCCCGCCCGCGCTCCCCCGCCGAGGGGCCGCCCACCCCGCAAGAAGAGCCGCTCCGCCGCGCCCTGCCCTGCACAGCGCCCGGCGCAAGAAGGCGGCCGGAGTGAAGGAGCGCAGCGCCGGGCACCCCGCGCCCCTCGTCCCCATGCGGCCGCGGGCGGAGGGAGGTTGCCGCCGCGGGAGCTGCGCGCCCGGACCGCCCGGACAGCGGTGGGGAGCCGCCGTCACCCGCCCCCGGAGGGACGGGCTCGGCTCCCGCCGGCGCTGAGGACCACGCGCCTCGCGGGGACGGGCGACTTGCGGCACGGCAAAGGAGGGAGCAGCTGCACTATTCCCCAGCGCCGCCTCGCCCGGCTTATGCTCATCGGGGGACCCCAGGAACGGCGGCGGCTTCTGCAAAATGACGGGCGATGACGAGCCCTAAGGCGGCGTCGAAACGTACCGCCGCGGGCTGCTATGTGCCCCGGCGAGCCGTTGCCGGAGGGCCCGCGGGCAGCCCGCTAGGTACCGGCCCGCCGCTCCGCTCTGCGCCGCCGCCCGCCCGCAGCGCCCCAGGGGCATGGGAGCGGCGGGCGGCGCCCGCTGAGAGCGCCGCGCTGGCCCGCAGGTAAGGAGCTCGGGCTGCGGCGAGCAGGGGGCGGTGGCGGGGCGCCCTGCGGGCGGAGCCCTGCGGGGAAATTCTTCCCTAATGGGAAGCATCTGCCCGCGGTGACGGGCCCGAGGTGTAGGCGTCGATGGCGGCGCGCGGGGCGCCCTCCGGCGGTGGAAAGAGGCGGTGAGGCCGCACCCGGACCCGCGAGGTTCTGCCGAGGGCTGACGCGCGGCGTTGGGTCTCCGCGCAAAGCGGCTCGGGCAGTTCTGCGAGGTGCTCCCTTCCACTACTGGGTGGGATGTTTTTGAGAGGGAGTTTTCGCTGAAGAGAGAATTAAGGAAAACAGCACCTGAAAAGTCTCAGAACAGACTACAAGCTGTTGCTTTTGGGTTTTTTTTGTTTTTTGTTTTTTTTGCAAAGAATGGTAAGTGTCTCATTAACTTGACCACAGATATTTGAAAAACGTCTTCATCTCGATGAGCCTCTCCTTTGAACTTAATGGTTTGCACATGATGCAAAAAATGATGAAAAAAATCTCTCGCTAGCTGGCAGATCTGAGAAAAGCTTACTTTTATACTAAAAGTAATGACTAATGGAACTAATAATCTCCAGCAGAACTGTCCTTCCCTCTTTGTCACACTGTTATACAAGAGCAAGAATGCTAAATTTCTGAGGCTAATAGTAGTTTGCCTCTTTGTATGGCTTTAATCTGGACAGCTCGAAGTCTTTTGATGGTGGAGATAAGAACAGGGAGGCAAACTTTCTTCAAAGCTAGGCAGCTTCATTTGTAATGAGACATTACATTATGTACAAATTATTTGATACTCAGACGTGGCCAGTGCTCAAGGTGTTCATCGACAGTTGCATTTATTTGCCAGTTCTGGCATAGTGTGCCTCTTCAAATGCCTCTCCATGAGCCCAGCCATTTGGCTTCACCTACACTGCTCTGAGAATTTGAACCTCAGTGCTGATGGACATGGCACTGTTATGGATACATCTAAACTTGCACTTCCTCTGAGGGCTGTGCTTGTATTTCTAAATCTAAATCTAGTTAGCGGGTTAGGGACCTCAGTAAGTTGATTTGTACTATTTTAGATGGATAAATACTTAGTATTACCTTGTGATGAAAATGACTTCTCTTTCTTTCATTGACTGTAGAGGGAGCCATGGCAACTTGCTTGAACTAGATGCTTCCTTTGAAATTCTGATTTTTAGATGAGATGAGCACTAGCCTTGGTGTGTAGAGCAAGCCTACAAAATGTATTTCCATAAGGAGACAGAATAACTTTAGTAGAATAGCTACTGAAATGTGTTGCAAGAAAAAAAACTTTGAAGTAGCAAGAGACCTGGATGAAATAAAAACTCTTTCCAGTTGAACTTTGCCTTAATTGCCTACAGAACTTCTAGGGGGTTGCAGAGCATCACAAAGCATATAAAGCGTTTTCAAGGGATTAAAAAATCATCGTTTCTTCTCTTTGCCCTCTTCCCCCATCCCCCCCTTTTTTGTTGTTCCCTTGGACAACCCAGGAGGAGCGAGGCAAGGCGAGCCGACAAGATGCGGGAGAGGGCCGCGGTTGGGGCACTCTCCGTGGTGCTGATCCTGGCGCTGGGTCTCCCACTAGGAGCCCTGGCCTGCCCCCACCCCTGCGCCTGCTACGTCCCCACCGAAGTCCACTGCACGTTTCGATCCTTAGCAGCCGTGCCGGCAAGGATTTCTAAACATGTGGAAAGAATCAATTTTGGGTTTGTATTGCAGTTTATAGCAAACAGTTTTACGTTCTTGGTGTGGAATCCTGGAATGCTTCGAACACGTGCGGCATTGCAGGATCTTTGTGTGCACTTTTTAAGTAGAATTGCAGATTGTTGTTACTTCCAGACACTATATTTCAAACATTGCAATTACTGGCATGAAGGGAATTTTAGTGTAAGTTCCATGTTTCAAAAAAAAAACTTCTTTTTTTTAAAAAAAATGTCTTTTTACGGTGCTGTCAGTTTTTACGCTGTCACTTCTTATTGATAAATAGTATGCATCTTACAGTATTTGAAAACTGTATTGATTAAATCTACTATGGAATATTTACTAAATGTTGATTGTTATACCTGATACACAGAAATGTAGTAGAAGTAAAATTCTCTAACTAGATAACATTTTGGACCACAATGAGATAGCATATCTTAAAGCAGTACAGTAAAGACAAGTTATTCCATAGGATTTGGAGTTGTTTGTTTGTTTTTCCCAACTGTGATAGAAGCAGACATCACTGCTTTGGGGGGAGAGAATTCAGGCTCCAACTCACCTTTCTCTGAGTACTGCCACTTCACATCTACCTATCAGACTATGAGATAAGAAGGCAGGGTTGAAAAGATGTACATGAGCCAGCAGTGTGCAAAGGCTGAAAGCCCAGTGTCCTGGGCTGCATCAAGAGAAAAAGCCAGCAGGAAGAGGGAGGTGATTGTCCCCTCACCTCTGTCCTCGTGAGGTCCCATCTGAAGTACTGTGTCCAGACCTGGGACTCCCAACACAAGAAAGATGTGGAGCTGTTTGAATGGGTCTGAAGGAAAACCACAAGGATTTATCAAAGGGCAGGAGCACCCTTCCTGTGAAGAAAAGCTGAGGGAGCTGGGCTTCTTCAACCTGGGAAAAGGCTCAGAGGTGACCTCATTGCAGCCTTCCAAGTGCTTGAAGGGAGCTTATAAACAGGGGGGAGATTGACTTTGTAAGAAGTTTAACAGTGTTAGGAGGGACAAAGGGGAATGGCTTTAAACTAAAAGAGGGGAGATGGGAGATTTAGGAAATTCTTTACTCACAGAGTGGCAAGGTACTGAAACTCACTGCCCAGAAGAGTTCTGAATGTTACGTATTGGAGGTGCTCAAGGCCAGGTTGTATGGGTCCTTGTGCAGACTGATCTGGTGCATAGCAGCCCTGCCTATGGCAGGAGATTGGAACCAGATGATCTTTAAGGTCCCTTCTAACCCAAGCCATTCTATGATTCTTTGACTGCTGACAGGCTGTATATCCCAAAAGTGCTGTGTAGGGCCATTGCATGACATAGCATTGTAAAAAGTCATAGTCCTCTTCTTGGCATCAGAACTACTTCAGTGGCTGGTATGAACTCCTTCTACCATCCCAAGGCCTGTAATCTATGTCTGATAATGCTGAGCCATAGTAGGGATCTTGATTTATTTTGTCCTCTGTAATTAAAATGTCTATTCACCAGTGATTTATCCATCTAAATCTGATTTTATTCTCATATTCCCAGGTACCCAGTAAATCTGTATTGCAGAAATCAATTTTTTTTTTTCATTTTCCTTCAATTTTTCAGTCATCCCAGAGTCAAATTAGTGGAATTAGTATTGGAATTAATCATAACTGTCTAATTTCTGCAATTACAAATCGAATTGAATGAATGTCCAATTGGGTAAATCTTAAAACATTTTGTGATGTGAAAGATTTTTTTTTATTTCTATTTTTTTTAACGGGCTCTCAGCCTATTTGTTTGTGGTCCCCTCTGAGAAAATAAACTTTCATACACAAAGACTACTAACTTTGTCTTAACTTGATGAACTTAACGCATGATTCCAAAGAGAGTCATTAAAACAAATTCATTAAAGGGTGTTTGCCAAAGAAGCTATAGTGCAGACTGGCCAAATTCTATACACCAGAACATATGTCTCCAAGTGGCCTTATATGCCTCTTCGACTGTGCAATGAAAGTACTTTGGAGCCTGATCAGTAATCCATGTCCTTGTTTCTCTGACTCATTACTCTTCTTTGAAGCCTACCTAATGTTACATTTCTTCAAAAATCCTGTTACTGTAGAGTGCATCAAGCTGCCTTCCCCTTCCTTCTCCCACATTGAAAACTATACATATTCAGTCACCTCTCCCCTATACATCAACATTCTACAGCAAATTCTTTTCCTAAATTGGTTCAGAAAATCTTAGAAATCTTTTTCTAAGCTTTTAAAAAATGTAGGCATTTTGGAAGTTTTATTCTGTTTTGTTTGTTTTGTCTTTTAATAAAAGTACATTATTTGATGCTGCTACTGTAAAAGTCCTTTCCCATTTTTTGTTTTTTCATTGCTGCAGATGACATTTTTGGAAACGGTCTTACTACCTGTTGCATTTCTTTCATTTTTGAGAAGACATTTTAGAATATTTCCACTTTAAGGTGTTTTGTATTTGGCATGTAAAAATGATTCATTTCCTAACTAGAAATAATTTAAGAAAATTTAATTTGTAATATTTAAAGAAGGTTGGTTTTTAGTTGGCTTTTTTTTTCTTTTTTTTTCAGAAGGACTGATTTAAGATAAAGAAGTTCTAGTAGGATGGCTGCAGTATAAATTTAAGTGGTCTGTGGTAGGACTAAAAATACTGAAATATTAGTCTGATTTTGTTTTTAATTCAGAATCTTCAGATAGGTAAGATGATGAGAATCCAGAAGTATTCTCTCATCAAAGTATTTACATTTCTCTGTGTCTCTTCCCTTCATGTCTAGAAAGAAACTCTTAAAAATAGGAAAAAATCTTTAAAATTGGATGCTTAATTTGGAGCTTTCATGCCCAGATTAGCACGTATGTCTGTTTTTGTGTCTACATTTAGAAAACTCAAATGCAGAACTAGGCAGCCAAACTTTAGACTTAGGCTCTGGCAAATAAAATCTGACTTGTTAGTGCAAAGTGAAATAAAATAGTTTTCAACAAAGTAGATTTTCAGTATTACTTCTTAAAAAAAGATTCCTGGGCTCAAATTGTATGATTGGAAGCTCAGTTCCTAGGTCTTATGTAATTAATTGATGCAACCAGTTAATTGTTGCAGCAGTTAAGCATGATGTGACTTCCTGCTTCTCTTGTTGTTTGGGAGAATATCCATTTTTAATGTCCTCTTTCTAAGTCTTTATTCATTGATTGTTAGATGCTGTTTTGGCAACACTGCAACCCAGTTTGCCAAGCTCCATAGCATCATGGATTGGATAAAGGCCATTAATTTATTACCATTCCATAAACTGAACTGCATGGAAAAACATGCAACTATTAGAACTTAAACCTATTTGTTACTCCCAGTTTTAAATTAAGACTAAAGTGCCATGAATTGATTTGAAAGAAATCTTAATGTAAACATGAGCTAAGTATACTTGGCCTTATAAAAATGTTTCAGTTACTTCTGGCTCTTTGACAATGTGCTAAGATCCATCCAATTTTTGCTGAAAGTTAGGTTATACTAATTTTACATTTGCAGTCCATGATCATTGAATCATTCCAGTTGGAAGGGATCTTAAAAGGTCATCTGTGTAAAATGTAATTACATTGTGATTTTTTTTCCAGGTTTAACAGTATACAGTCTATATATGAAAACTCCTTTGCAGGACTCACTAAACTGGAATTGCTTATGATACATGGAAATGACATTCAGAATATACCTAATGGTGCTCTGAAAGATCTCATGTCCCTGCAGGTAATGCTCAGGTCTTCCTAGATTTCCTAAGCTCTGACGTCTGTGAATAACTGAGGACAAAAATAAGCTTTTTTTTTTTTTTTTTAAATATCTTTCTTAGAATAAAGGTAACATTCCCCCTGCCCTAAAATATTGGACTTCTGTTAACTTTGCCAGTGTCACGCTTCTTAATGCCAAATAATATTCAGTTTATTTTCCAACTTTTGTCCAGCATTTTTTTAGTGGTGCAAAGAATATTTGAATGTGTGAGGAAAACTTTGGAATGCTTGTTCGGATTTAGATACAAAAACAAAACTAATCTTTTTTTTTTTTTTTTTTTTTTTTTTTAAGGTTTTCAAAATTAGTTACAATAAATTGAAAGTTATAACTGGCCAAACCCTCCATGGACTTTCAAGTTTAATGAGGCTGCATGTGGACCACAACAGAATCGAGTTTATTCATCCAAATGCTTTTAATGGATTAACTTCTCTGAGATTGGTCCACTTGGAAGGAAATTTACTCCAGCAGCTTCATCCACACACCTTTTCAACATTTATGGTCCTTAATTATTTTAAACTGTCAACAGTAAGACATCTCTACCTATCTGAAAATGCTATTAGCACGTTGCCTGCAGGGATGTTTCAAGGTATGCCACTGCTGGAGAATCTTTACCTTCATGGGAATCCATGGGCCTGTGACTGCAGCTTACAGTGGCTCCTCGATTGGAATGAAAATTCTGGAGGTAAGAACAAGATTAGAAATGCATTTTCAAGTCATAATATTTAAAAAGTTTTGCATATGAATAGCTTTGTTATTTCTTGGGTAGCATTACTTACACGATGTCTATGTGCACTGTGTTGTTGGGCAAAGGAAGGAGTGTGGAAATCAAGTTTCCAAATTCCTCTGTGAGTCCTTTAACTTTGAGCTATTAACTATAATGCTGTTATTCATTGGCATTTCTCCATAGACCACAACTTACTTTTCTGAGGGAGGTAGTTTACACCTATAATCCTGCTACTTTTTCAGAGGAATGTCTGCCACCATTTAGGCTTAGATGTGAGAAAAGTACCAGACTGGAACAGTTCTAGACATATGCAGGAGCAAAATGCAAGAAGCAAAAAGAAAACGAAACAGTTGTATAATGCCTGTAGTTCAGGAACCCATTAAATGTGGGCTTCTTTGAATGCTTGTTTTCAGTTTAGGTATCTGAGTGCCCCATCTCAGGTTACTAAGTGCTTACTATATAGTAGGCCAGAGTGACTAGTGTTATACCACAGCTGTTAAAGAGGGAATCATCATTTAATTGCAATTGAAGAGGTTTCAGAAGAGTTCTGGAGTGATTTATGTAACCATTTGAAGCATTTGATGATGATGGATCTTGTCATCTTAGAATATGTTCATTGCAATTTTGCACTTAGCTGTACTATTAGAAAAAGTAGTCGTATTAGCAGTACTTAGCTTTACTTTTAGAAGTGTATGATACTTTAATACATATGTGTCACTGATGGAGCCATAATTGAGGTGTCTGACTGTTACTGTATGTATGTAATAATGTTCTTATATATTCTCCCTTATCAAATAAGTGGGTATATTAAGTGTACTTAAGATGTACTCCAAGTAGTAATGATGAAATATTAGATGATCTTCTGTTCCCTGCACAGTGATGACTTGCTACCACTTTTATTCGAGTTGATTATTTTTCTATAAACCAACAGTGATTTTAGAAAAGAGAAATAATTATTCCATGCTATTTTCATGTGTGACAGTTTTTGTATTTTTATACAGTTGTAGCACTAACTTCTGTGGGAATTCTGACAAGGAAACAGAAGTGCTGTTTCAGTGATCACTTTACAGTACTTCAGACCAGTGTAGCAATAATAAGGTGACAGTGTGCTAGACCTGTCATAAAGTATGCTTCCTTCATCTTTGAAACATACATGAATGTGCAAGTGATAGACTGGTTCACTTAAATATTACATTTGTAAGAATTTCTCAATAAACCTTATCTTTCATACTAGCAAAGCATATGTTTTTCTGTTAAAAAAAAAACGTAACATCATTTTTGAAGTTCTTTTCACCTTATTCTAGAATTTTGCATTGTAACTCATTCATTCATCCTTTGTTCCTCAGAGGTGATCAACATGACACTTATTCCTAGAAAAACTGAAATGCAGCATGTGTCCGAATCAGTTATGTAAGGCAACATTTGAAACTGTAGTAAAGTTAAGCATAAATACATGACTGTTGTTTTCCAGACAAGAGTCTTATTGGCACTGATAGAAGGACTCAAGGCTATCATTTCCTGTTCTAATACTCCTCTGTTTAGTCTTTATTTTGTCATTACAGTTTTGTTCTTTGTTTGCAATTATTTCAGAGATCAGGGAAGAGGTGACATTTTTTTCTACTGTCATATACATTGCAAGTGCAGTAACTAACCAGTACATTTAGTAGCTACGGGGGAATTTTTTTTTTTTTTGTATTGCTAGTATAGTACTGTATAGTTCTCTTGTAGCTACTAAAGATAAAAAACCTGGATTTTTTTTTTTTAATGAGATGATCTGGCATTTCTGAATGCATTTTTGAAAGGTGCATTTTTGAAAGGTGGGATAACCTAGTCTTCAGAGGTACAAAGATAGATAAGCAGGTTGTTGTTGTATACATGCAGGCTTTTTTACACAGCATAAATATTTGCACACTTCTAAAATGTTGCTCTGGACACCTCAATTTCCAGTCACTTGATTCAGAAGGAAGAAATCTAATTTCCAGAACAACAGAGTAACCTGTCATTAGATCTGAAGAATTTATGGTTGGTAGGAGAATCAGGCCCATTCAACTGTAAAACAGAGAGGCAGCATTTAAAAAAACATTGGCTTCCATATGCCACATGTCATGTGCTTCTCATGACATCTTACTATCTTGGAAATTCTTTAACTCTGGGTCATAGTTCTACAGCTTACCTGTATTTTCTTTTACTTTTTTATTTTCTTTGCTTACAGGTGTTCTAAAATGCAAAAAGGACAAAGCCTATGAAGGGGGGCAGCTCTGTCCTAGGTGCAACAGCCCAAAACAGCTGCAAAAAGAAGATATCCAAAACTTGAAAGATATTTCCTGTAGGAAACCTATCATTCAGTCCTCACTGAGGCACAATAGCAGCACTCAAGACGAAGAAGATGGTGAGAATTATGAACTCCCTCTGGAAGTGTTTCAGTCTTCTCCATGGAACATTACACTGAATATGACTGATGAGCATGGCAATGTAGTCCATTTGAACTGTGAAATCAAGAAACCAACAGGCTCTACCAAGATTCAATGGAATCAAATTCAGACTCAGGAGATTGATATAAATGCTACAGTATCATTGGATTTTGAATGCCCAATGAATAGAGAGAACTATGAAAAACTGTGGAAGCTGATTGCTTATTATAGTGAAGTGCCCGTCAAATTAGAAAGAGAACTTATGCTCAGCAAGGAGCCTAAAATAAGCTATCGGTACAAGCAAGGCTCAGACTATGATGCTCTTTATTACACAGGTGTAAAAGCTCAAATACTGGCTGAGCCTTCCTGGGTGATGCAACCTCTTATAAATATCCAATTAAACAGGCGCCAGAGTACAGGGAAAAAAGTGGTGCTATCTTTTTTTACTGTGTTTTCTCAGGCAATTCATACCAAAGACATGAGGCAGCAGAGAAGCTGGGTGATGATAGAACAAAATCAAAGCACAAGGAAAGCACAGAGTGTGGTAGAAGGGTCAGAGTGTCAGCTGAACTGCAATGTGAAAGCCTCTGAGCGTCCTTTCATTCAGTGGCTCTTTCCAGATGGGACAAAACTGCAGGCTCCATTTAATCAAAAGGACAGCAGATTTTCCATTCTCACTAGTGGTCAACTAGTAATCAAACCAGTGAGTTACACTGATGCTGGCTTGTATCACTGCATTGCCCAAGTGAGAGATGACGTGGATATTATGGCTTACAGGCTTCTAGTGCAGCCTCCTGCTATTCAAGTAGCTGACTCAGATATAGTGAGAGTTGAAAAAAATGTTGGAGATCCCATAGTTTTGCCTTGCAGTGCAATTGCCAGCCCAGAGGCACAATTGAGCTGGATTCTTCCAAACAGCCAGGTACTTAATGTTTTGTCAAACTCTTCAAAAGGATATGTGATGGACAATGGTACTTTGCTTATTCCAAAAAGCCACGTCAGTGACAGTGGCCATTACAGATGTGTGGCTGTCAATCAGCAGGGATCAGATCAGTTTACTGTAAGAGTGACAGTAAATAAAATGGTGTCTGACAGGTCATTTAAAAGGATAAAACTGAAAAAACGCACACGCTCAAAAAGCTCATCGAAAACAAGAGGGCAGGTCATAGATGATGGAGAAGGATCAGGCACAGGAGGTGTTGATGAATTCCCACGAAGAAAGAACCACCTGAAGGACAGAGAGATATCCTTTAAACAAAAAAGTGACCAGATGCTAGAGGCTCAAATTAAAAAGGGAAAGAAAGGCAGAAGGAAAATGAAAATTTGGAAAGGTACTGATAGAACCCAAGACAGCAATGTTGCAGAAGGTCGAAGAGCATTTGAATCTCGACGGAGAATTAATATGGCAAACAAACAGATTAATCCACAGCACTGGGCTGACATTTTGGCAAAGGTCCGTGGGAAGAACCTTCCTAGAACTACAACAGCTACAGCCACTTTGTTAACAACTACACTGCCATCAGATGTGCAGAAAACTACTCCTGTCCCTCATCCAGTAGCCATCCCTCTGCCTTCAGAGACAACAGCTGATGTAGTAGATTCTTCTGCTGATGCATCACCACTGGGAGAAAATGAGCCATTCTCAGTCACTGTTTCCCACAGCAATAAAGCATTTTCAGCTTGGTCCACAATAACAGGGTCAGAAACTGAACACTTCTATGACCAAAGAATTTTAAAAACACCTGCAAGTATACACTCTGTTGAAATCCCTGTATCGAGTCCTGTCTTTGCAACAGTGCTACCTCAAGGCCAGCAGCATCAGGATGGCAGGGTTGATTCTTCAGTTGTAGTCACAGAAAATATTCGTGCTGTCACTGAAGAATCTTTGACCAAAGAAACAGTGACCAGCTATCTGAATATTCAGAGTAGTTCATTCACAGTGGAACATGTAGATGCAACTGTATCTTCTAAGTCAGAGGAAAATTCTGCTTTTGCTGAACTGCCAATTGATGCTTCTGTCCTAGCTGAATCTCAGTCTGTAGATCTTCCTGGTGTCTTAGAGAGAAATGAGAGATTAAATGAAGTGGATCAAATGAGTGTCAGCAGTATAATTTTAGCACCTTCTCAGCTGTATGACGTCCCTACAGATTCTGTAGGTTCCACTGTCATTTCTTCATCTGTTACAGTAAAAAGCAATGACTTCATACATGGACACAGAGATGTATCCACTGGTCAAGCAAAAATAGCAGATTTAAGTACAACTTCTCCAGCTGTTATATCCATCAAGGTCCAAAGCAAGGAAGAATCAGAGATCCACAGAAGTACAGTGACTCAAGAAAGCATGTCCAGCACTTACACAGAGAGTTTTCATGGAAGAGAACAGAGAAACCTGTCTGCTTCCAAAACGGATCCCACATTTATTTTGCCAAGTACGAATGTTCCTTATAAAAAAACAGAGGAGGTAACTGCTGCTTTCATCAGCAAATTGACGACTGCTGCCACAACATCGACACCCTATAGGAAAACAACACCTTCACTAGTTACTCAGCATGCTAGGAAAAGGCCTTATGGGAGAAGGAGACTGAGACCAAATAGAATCCGCCAAAGAACAAAACCTTTCCCCCGTGTTGTTTTAACTACAGAGGCAATGCCTAACATTCCAAGAACATCTAAAGTTGAAGCTGTTACCCAGGCTTCCTCTACAGTACTTGAAAGTCCTGATCTTAAAAGTGGTGTCAAAATACAGGCTAAGGAAGAGGAGCATAGGGAAATCACTCCTTCACTAGTTACTGATCCTGTTGTAATAGAGAAAATGACCAAAACCAAAGAAGCTGTCACAGCTTCTTTCTTTAGGCCTACTACTTCTCAACCTGAAAGAAAATACGTGACACATTCTACTCCTGAAACCTTGGTACTTCCAGTGACTGAACCCATCACAATTTTGTCATCATATGTTTCACATAACACAGTTCCCACAGAAGAGTCAAGTGCACCTCAGAAACCAGAGCAAAATAAAATGCCAACATTTGACTCATTAGAGAATGTATCTGAAGAGAGGACCCTTAAAGAAGATTCTAAAGCTCCAGATAGTGAGGCAGAATCATCAAGTACAGCTACCTCTGAGTATAGGAGCAGCTTGATATCATCTACAAAATCCAGTTACCCAGAATCTCAGGAAGAGACCATCGCTTTTCACTCAGATGTTGTGGCTAATGAAGCTATTGCTGGAACATTCCAGCCGATGTATCCTACCGTGACAGATTTAAGTATTCCTTCTGACACACTGGAAGTTCTTGAAGATGTCTCAGATTCAGAGGAGTTATGGAAGCCCACAGTATTTTTAAAAACACCAGCAATAACGGAGACACCCCAGCAACAAGAAATCATATCTTTGTACTCCTCCTTCACCACAATGGAAACTCAAACTTTTCCACCTTCAGAAAGAGAAATGTCTATTGTTTCTCATACTGAGGCAAAATCATCTTCCATGGATAAGGAGGAAACAGTATCAAATGTATTTCATCACGATCCCACTTTGCAGACATTTGAAAAACCTCAGACTACACAGGATGTCCTTATTCCATTTACAAAACCTCCTACTCTTCCTCCCCCCATCTCAAGCACTTTACATCATTCTCTTCATTATACTTCCAAAGGCAGTAATGCCTTCAATCAAGAAAGGTTGCCAGCAGTAAAACAAGTTGAAGCAGAAAGTGAAAGAATGGTGGTGAGCTCAAGACTGAATGTACGCCCTACTCCCTTCTCTAGTCAAAACAGGATTAGCATACAGTCTAAAGAGGAACAGTTCAAAGAAATGTACAGTAGCAGGTCAAACAACAGTATATTGCTAAATCCAAACCTTCCCCATCCACCCGCTGGAATGATACCAAGCCTAAATCAAAGACTGCCAGTTGTGCCTCCAAGGCATGTTCCAGTAAGAGGCACAGTGAAGCCTCCGTATGTTGTAACACAAGGTTCATTTCGTTATTTTATGACACATCAGCCTCTTCACTACACAAACAAACCAGAGATAACGGCATATGCAGCACACACCATGCAGGACAAAAAATCTTTTGCCTCTGAGAAAGAGACAACTACCCCAACACAAGCTACTCCATTTCACAGAACAAATATATTCCCTACTAGCAAGTTTAGTAATCAGGGTCAGAATAGATACAACATTAATTCAAGATTTTTTGGTAGCAACTATGTTCCAGATAACAGAGGCACAGCAGGGAGACTACCAAGTCAAGAGATACCCTATTATCCCAGTTCCAGAGTGCCATTCCTGTTCAACAGAACAAGGATTTTACCTCACTTAGGTATACATCCTAAACCTGTGGTCCCTGGTCAACCAGTCCCAAAAGACACAAATGAGAAGAAGGTTGCCCAGGTCTCCCCTCCTCGGATTACAGTGCAGAAAGCTACAGCTGTTCCAGTGCCTTCACATACCACAACCACCACATCACCACCAGCAGTGATTTTGAAGATAACCCCTCCATCCTTTTTCTCTCAGAGCAGAAGACCCCAGATATCCACTACACTTCAGCCTCTTCAGCCTCTTAAAAATGCCCACTATCACCAAAAAGTTCCATCTGTGCCTTATGTGGGAGGCATTACATCACACAATTTATCTATAATTCAATCTTCAAGCAATTTCAGGACACCTGGAGAAAGACCTAAAATTATCACAAAAGGATCTCAGAGCATATCCATCCTTGCTGAAACAGATGCTCTTATCCCTTGTGATGCAGTGGGGGAACCAAAGCCTTTTATTACTTGGACGAAAGTCTCTACAGGTGAGACAGCTGAAAAAGTTTTCTTCTACACAGTTTTAACAGTACTAATACTTGGAATTTTACATAGAAATGCAACATAATTACAGGGATAGTCCAAAACAAAGAGCAAACACTGAATATTTTGTCTGTATTAGTACTGATAAAATGTGATTAATTGCAAGCAAAAGTTACAGATAAAAATAAGTTAGCAGTACTTCTTGTAATAAAACAAAAGCTCTAACATTTAATGACTTTATTTTTTGAAGGAGGAATAGCAACCAAGAGATTGTTCACAGCAGTAGAACTTATAAGAAAGCTTGTGAATAACTGTTAGCTTTGCTACCTTAAACAATGTTGTACGTATTATCTCCATAAGCAAAAGAGAGATTTTCTGAAGTTGTAAAGCACGGAGCCTGTAAAGGTTCCCATACTGCATGTACTTGCAAGCTAGTGTGGTCAGGTTTGAACTAGAAACAGACTGCGGACAGTGTCAGAAGATGTCATGTGATCCATCTGAAGTTGTAGTTGGTGTTAAGCAATTCTGTTGTCTTCCATAAGGCTTCTTTAGTGCAGGGATGCATGTCTAAAAAACCAACCCTTTGCCTTTCTATTTCTTTCCTCTCATTTTCTCAGGAGCTCTAATGACAGCCAACACCAGGTTACAAAGGTTTGAAGTCTTGAAAAATGGTACCTTCCTTATCCGAAACGCTCAGCTTCAAGATCGTGGACAGTATTTGTGCACAGCTCAGAACCTGCACGGCGTAGATAAAATGATTTTTGTGCTCACAGTTGTAGCCCATCAGCCCAAAATTTTACTTTCCCGCTATCAAGATGTCACTGTCTATTTTGGAGATACCATAGCGATGGAATGTCAGGCTAGTGGAACTCCAAGACCACACATTTCATGGATTTTCCCAGACAGGAAGATTTTGCAGACAGTCACTACTACAGAAAGCAGGATAATGCTTCATGAAAATCGAACCTTATCTATCAAGCAAGCAACATTTTCAGACCGGGGAGTGTACAAATGCGTAGCTAGCAATGCTGCAGGAGCTGACAGCATAGCAGTGAGGCTCCACATTGCAGCCTTACCCCCCATCATTCAGCAGGATAAGCAAGAGAACATTTCCTTGCCCCTTGGTAGCAGTATTAATATCCACTGCACTGCCAAAGCAGCACCTCCGCCCAGCATCCGTTGGGTGCTCTTTGATGGCACACAAATTCGACCTTCCCAGTTTGTCAATGGGAATCTATTTGTTTTTCCCAATGGAACTCTTTATATTCGCAATGTCTCCCCTAAGGACAGTGGGGTCTATGAGTGTATTGCCGCCAACATGGTGGGAGCTGCCAGGAGAATAATACAACTTCATGTGAAGAAACAAGCATCTAATGCTAAGATCACTGGGAGCTCTCCTCAGAGGACAGATGTAACGTATGGCAGTATCCTGCATTTGGACTGTAGTGCTTCTGGTGACCCGTGGCCTCGGATATTATGGAGGTTACCTTCCAAAAGGATGATTGATTCCTTACACAGGTAAATTACTATTTCAGGTGTTGAAACTAAATTAGAATTGAACAAACATTAAGAAAAGAGAACTCATATCTGTTGAAGCTTCATTCTTGCCTTCTGTGAGTTTTGAATTAGACCTAAAATCATTAAGGAAGAATTTGAAATTATATCAAAAGATGGTCAGGTTGTAATGTAATAGCATAATTTTCCTGAAAACAGTAGTACTCTTGAAAAGTTGGCTTCAAGTGTTCAGAATAATTTGCTACTATTTGTCTCTATAAATGTAGCAAGAAGTCCAGTGCCAAAAAGTCTTGTTTCAGCGTGTATAATAGTATATTTAAAGTTTGCATAGATCCATACTTCCCCCAGAAGAACTGGGATCACTGTTTTTCACTTCTACTTGTATTTATCATTATACACTGTAAAAATGGGACAAAGAAATGATAATGACTTAAATAATCATGAACATTTTAACATTAGATAAATTAATGTTACCTTACTTAGATGTTACCATGCTTAAAATAATACCTTCTTTAATGTTCATTATATCAAGTAAAATATTGCTTCTCCAAAACAACAAAACTATCCTCAGAGTTCACAGAAAAATTCTCTTTGAGCACTGTATACAAGAAATATACTGAAATTTAAACACACAATTGCCAATAGCTTTCTTAATAGTGGAATGTAGTCGGCATATTTTCATTGGGCAAACAGTGTATTTGAGTGATCTACAGATAGTACAAAATCCAGAATTATTGAGGGTTTTTTTTTTCTCTTCTATGATCTTCATTTTATATAGCACATCTTCATGTTGGGGAGAAAAGTGTGAATCTACTGAGAAAATTATTTCTGGCCACAACGCACCAATTCCATAGTGCACTGAAAAGTAATAATAGCCTTTTAGCACATGTAATTTTTTTTTTTTTTCCATATTTTGAAGTTTAGATCATTAATAAATTAACACTGTAGAAGTTACCTACTCTGTATTATTGAGCCTGAACATTTTGCCTCTCTGAGATTTTCTGAGGATTAAAAATGTTGAACCTAAGGCCAG